AAGGGAAACTTGTGAATGCACACACCTATATATTTTTTTTTTTTTTTTTATATTAGAGTGTACTCGGTGTATCTATATACTTACAGTCTTGGCAATATAAATATTTACGTCTTGGCCATAAAATATAGATACACCGACTGTAGGAATTTGCTCGGAGGAGCTCCGAGCTGCTCCAAGCTAAGCCCCAAACGAACCTATCATGACACTGCATCAGTGAAATCTTACGAATATAGTCGTATTCTTCAGGCTGGATTCAAGATCGGTAACTGTGAATATACACATCAAAGGTAATTCATACTTTTTTACGTACGAAAAAAAAAAAAAAAAAAAAAAGAAAAAAAAAGAAACGTAATTACTTTGAAATTCGTTTAATTTCTCTTGCTAGAGTTGATGAGGTACTTGCAGCTGTGAGTCAACAGGTGCTTCTCACCCGAGGAGTCGTGATGCGTCGGGGTCGTCGACTCGCGCGTATATATGTCAAGGCCGTACTGGCCCTCCTCGGGGAAATTAATGGTAAAGGTGACGACGTCGTCATCCGTGACGCTGTGGCTCACGTACTTGGACAATCGTTTCTCCTCGATGCCGTTCTTGTGAAGCGTCGCCATGAAATCGGTAAGGGCTCGCGACATGCGGAACTGGATCTCGAGCTCCCGACCGGCAAACACCAGGGCCTCCTGACAACCCCCAGGGATATATTGTTACAAAAAAAGGAAAAAGAAACAAAAAAAAAAAAATCTCGGTAATGAGCAAGCGCAAAAGCGTATTGTGATAAACCTGGTGGGTGATCGGCACGAGGCCAAAGAGCCGCGTGGCTTTGGTCGGGCCCCACTCGCCGCTCGCGCAATCCGGCAGCGGCACCATGACGGTCTGAAGCTCCTCGCACGCGATCTTGAACTTGCAGACGCTCTTGAACTTCATCGGCTCGCCCGTGAGGTATTCCTTGGGCGTGACCGCGTTGGCGAAGACATCCAGCAGGAAGGAACCCGAGCAAGGCGCGTGAACTCGAAACGCCACCAAATTACCAACCACCGACTGAAAAATGTTTCACGCACATGTAGGTATATTATGTATATAACGATGTGCTATTGGTTTTATGGTTCACATAAACACCATAAACGCTTACTTGCATAACGAATCTCTTGAGGGACACGCCATCGTAATTGTCGCCGTCGCTGTCGTAGAACTTGAGATTGTAGTGGAAAATCAGGGACGATTGCATGTTGGCGGGCATGGCTATCCTAACGGTCGCGGCGCCCGTCGCGTCGGTGTACATCACGGCATTGGTATTCGTGTCGGGAAAGTAAAGCCCGTACCTGCGAAAACAATGCGTTTTGTGCGCTTTTTCCCAAAAACTATAACGTATACAGAAGAACGATCATACCTGAAGAAAAGCGAACGGACAAAGGGCAGCTCCTCAAAGTCCTTGAGCGATATGGGCTGCTTCAACAGCTGCCAGTCCTCCTGAAGGGGGAAAAACTCGTAGATGAACTCCCGCGGGTCCGTGAGGAAGTAGTGGTCGTCGTACTCGTATCTGATGGGACAGAATAGTACAATGTACAGGTGTGGCGTTATGTGCGTGCGTGGCGAGAGTGAAGCCCCACCTGAGACTGTCGCTCTTCTCCTTGGGTTGTCCCGGATGGGGCACCTCCTTAGCGTTGACGAGGTGCCGGGCGCCCCAGTTGCACTGGACGAACCTCCACGAGCCGGCCACGTACACCGCGTTCCAGCTGTTGCGGAAGCGATTGTCCTCGAAGCGCACGCCCGGCTGGTAGCCGGCCGACTTGCTGTATCCCTTGATGACCACGCAATGGAGGCCGGCGTAACTGCACAGCCGCTTGAACAGCACGTGGTAGGACTCGGTGCCGTGTTTTATGCCCCGTAGGAGGCCCATTGGGGTGTCGCCCCGCAAATTCTCGTCGAATTGCATCGTGTTTAGGTTCTTCACCGTTATCCAACGGAATATCGTGCGAGCCTTCTCGATGTCCGAGCCGCACTTGCTCACAAGCTGGCGCACCAAGTCGGTGAAGGTCTTTTGGTCCTCTTGGGCCACCTGGACGCATTTTCATGTTTTTCAATCGGATGGAGGTTTTTTTTTTTTTTTTTTCGAGCCATAAATTGTAAAGCCACTCACCGAAATGGCAATCTGGTCGATGTCGGCAAACTCGAGCGGGTCGTTGTACAAGTGGTACTTGGCGAGGGCCGGGGGGTGCGGTGCCGGGGCGCGGGACGGGTAGGGACTCGGAGGCGCCCCGTGGATGTAGTCGACGCCCTCGTCCAGGTAGAGGCTCTCCTGTTGCATGTACTCACTGCGCGCCTCGTTTATCAACTCGAGCATTTCCGAGCTCTGCTTTTCCACGAGCGCCGCTGTTGCTGCCCTGTTTCCACCCCCCCCAAAGATTTTCGATTAGAGAGTCTTCGTTTGTTCCCAGTGCTGGTATTGTTACAAGCTGGAGCGAGCATTACGGGCTTCAACCGAGGGACGCATTGTTTCCTCGCTCTTTCCCAAGGAAGGGGGAGGAAAAAAAAAAAAAAAAAAAAAAAAAAAAAAAAAGGTAAAAAATTCCCTCTTCACCCCGTGGGAGTTGTTACACGCGCGCGTGCCCAAAGAGTCGCTCCAACGGAAGGGAAAATAAAAAAGAGGGATAAAATTACCGCTCGTGCTCGAGCATTTTCCGGGTGAGGCTCTCCTTCTTCTTGTCCCTGCGCAGGGTCATGTTCTTCTCGAGGTCCTCCTTCTCCTGCTGGAACTGCTGGGCGCGCGTCTTGCTGCCGCGATCGCGCTCCCATTTCACCGACAACTGCTCCAGCTCCTTTTCCCACTCGTCCTGCGTGGACAAGCGAATGTTCAACATGGATTCAAGTACCGATGATTTATTTTTCATAGGAATGAACAAAAAAAAAAAATATGCACTGACTCGGAACTCCTCGCGTATCCTGCGGTCCTCCTCCTCGCGGTGGTGCGCAAACTTGCGGTACAGATCGTCCTCCTCCTTGCGGTGTTTCATCTCGAGTCGCGTTTGCTCGTCCCTGTCCTGCAAACCAACAACAAATTCATTGTCATTATCGTTGGAACAATTAATGAGCTATGTGTGAGTAAAAATAGCCATTGAGAATCTTTTATGTGCAGGTATATTACGAATAGTGTCGACAGTATTGGAAATGAAGGAAGTTACATTTGTGGCCAATTACGGGTGTATCCTACGATGGAAATCGACTTTGAGGACATATTATATGTTTCTGCGATGAGTCATTGGAAATCGGAGCGGTGCCCCGCGCAAGTTTTCCAAAATCATCAAGTGCCAATGCGTGTACTATGAGTATACCCTACTTTGGTCCCGAAAGCCGCATCACCTTATTCACCAAAATTGTATCCCATAATGTATTCTGGTGGGGAGACAAATGGTCCCCTGCCCTCGTCAAGTACCCACCAAACTTGCCGATCCACAAGTGTCACATTTTATTTACATTCGAGACATGTGTCACTCCAGTGCAGCCCAAGGTATTTGTTGTTTGCATATCAATGGGCTGCAGAGTCCACTCGAAAAACTATTGGCTGCAGATTGCTCGTATATGATCCGCCGAAGGGGCGAGGGTGCGTACATATATATTAATATCGCTTATCATCCTACACTGTATGTGTATTACACGTATACGAACGACGGGCCACAGAGAGAGAGAGGAAGTATGAGGGAAAAGGAAGAGCCGACTTACACCATATTACACATCACCCATACATCAGATATATACCGGGCGTGCGGGCGTTTGTGTTTCCGCGCTCGGCCGCGGAATCGCTTCCGCTTTGTGGTTTCATTCACCTCCACCTTCCCCCCCTCTCTCTCTCTCTGTTGTGCGTAATATAATTACACCCACTCCCGTATACATACGGTATAATATTCGCAGAGCGTCTATCTGGTTAATTAGGAGCGTATAATATACCTGCGTCTATTTCCTCTCCGGTGATGATTCTTTTCCCTCCCATCCGTATACACACGCACGATTGTGCGCTTTCCACAGAGTATACACCTTCATCGGTTGTACACTCCGAAGAAGCGAAGGAAAAACATTGCGGGTACAATACGTTGGGAGTCGTCGGTGTGCTTATCAACCATCGCCGTAGTTTAGGGTGTGTAATTGAGTCGATGAGACTATTGCACCGCGTACCTATACGCGGTAGGTATTGTTCGGGTGGTTTTATCAATCGATTGAATTTTCCGATTCAAAGAGAGAGGGACATTAAATTTACTTCCGATCACCGAGCATAGTTGTGGAGATGTTGCACGCCGTGGCCAAGTTATACAAGCACCACACCATTTGTCGAGAAGGCTCAACGTTTGCGGGCTTATTCGTGGAAATATACTTTTTATCATTGTCTGCGCGAGAGATCGGTAGATCCTTTTTTTTTTTTTTTCTTCTTCTTTTGGTTCTCGATTCAGATACACCCCGTGCAAGTGCATTTGTCTTCACGCTCGCTCGCTCTTTCCGCGGTGAGATTATGCCGTTGAATGCCGATGTCGATCGAGATGAATACGTATACTATAAATATGTGTGTATACGCGCGCAGAGAGATTCGCTCGGATATTTATGGATCGACGCTCTTCGGTGCTAACGTCCTCTTGATCTGAAATCCCTCGCTTTTTTATACGTATATATACGTTTATGTTTCAATTTCAATGATCGATATAGTACATAATTTATACCTATACGGTATAGGTGGAAATCCCGTGGTAAGATATGTTGTAACATCTCATGCAGAAACGTCTTGGGGAATATGTATTCGTAAAATCGTTACTTTGCAATTCGAATGAGGTTTGTTTTTTGCAAATACTTCGAATGATTTTTCTTTCTTTTTTTTTGATCGTGTACAATCAACACTTACAATGCGTGGAGTAAAAATAAATTGATTTTATTTTTTTTTTTTTTTTTTTTGTAAACATGAATGTACCTATAATAAAAGACGAGAAAGCGTTATTCAATGGAACATTGCTGCATGGTAGGTATATTATTGTATGGGCTCCATTTAACGTAAAAAAAATGCAAGAAATTAATTCTCCTACATAATCCTTTTTACTGCAGCCGAGTCGTCTTTTAAATCAACCCCGCGTCAAATGTATTGGTCTTCCGATGGAGCGACTCGAGTTTGTACTCTTGACAAAGGAAAAGGAGCCAGAAAAGAGGGCCGGGAAGAAGATTTTTTTCCCCCAATTGAAATCCAAGCTCCCGTGCATACCATAAGGCGACGCGCGCTGGCAAGGCAAATGATAAAACGGGCTCTCGCTCTCTCGTTACACACCGTGGATTGAAAAATCATTAAGTATGTAGGCCATTAACACGCGCCCGAAGCCTCATTACACGGTGCTCGAAGCGCAAACGGCAGAAAATAAACCCCGTGTATTGATTCACTCGCCGCGAGCCCGTGTGGTCTCTCTCTCTCTCTCTCTCTTGTTTGGGAACTGCGGAATTACGGTACAGGTACGTGATGTTGAACTTTGCAAACTTGCGTTTGTTCGTTTAAGTACTTACTTGCCCAGAGAAGAAAGCGGAATACTCACTCGGGCGCGTCGGAAATCGGTAACGGATATTGACACGTCGTCACTTGATAAGCTTTATTATGCTGTTTGATTTTTATACAGCGACCATTAGGTGATGGGGAAAAATTTATCTGTGGGATGACAACTTTTTTCCGATCCGATTACCTTGCCAAGACCTTCCAAGCCATCATTTTATCTCAAAGAAAGAAAGAAAAAAAATTTTCATTACGCACCCGAGTTGATATACCTAAATATGCGGGTGAAAATGCCAACTTCTTCCTCGCCGATTCACCTACATCCTTGGCTTTTCTCGTTGTACCAGGCGCGTGCACGATACATGAATAAAAACGCCAAGTAAGAAATCCCTGCGCATCCGCGCATTATATTTTCCTCTTTCCTTTTTCCCTCCCTCGATCTTATGTGTTTATCCGCGTTAGCGGCGGAGTGTATACCTATACGTGTGGAATAAGAATTGGGGCATGACGAGCGCCGAAGCGCCAAGCTGCAAGTGAACGCTCGTTTACCAGGTCTCTCGCTTCGCAGGATTTTCCTCCTCGACCTAATAATGACGGCGATCGCGCTGACGATGGTGATTCCCGTAACGCGTGCTCGCGCATACTTATTACTGTTGTTTTTTTTTTCTTCTTTTTTTTTTTATTTTCACGCTCATACACGCGCGTATGGATAATACAAAGGAAAAAAAAAACACACACACACCAGATGAGTCATTCTTGGTTATATTATGTATATGTTTCTGCGGTCGAGAATCGAGGGGAATGCAGGGGAAGGAGGGTTGATTGGAGAACGGTATAATTGCGCCAAGTCATTGAACATGTGCAGGTAACATGTATATATATATATATATATATATATACATTATGTGCGCGGGATTGTATATTGGGACAAGAAGGTGAGGGTATTTGATTTTGTTGTTACGGATCGGTGGTACGTGTGCAATTATCAACAGGTAATTTGGATCGTGGGAAAGAAAAATCCGAATTATCTCAGTTTCTTTTATTTTTTATAATTATTTAAAGAAAGTTCGATGTAGTATCTGAACAAAGCTATACGAGTTAACCAAGTAAGATCATCGGAAGTGATTTTACCACGGGATTGATTTTTTTTTTTTTTTTTTTGTTCATACACGCAGCAAATCGGTAAAAAATCGGTAGTAAGTTTTTTGTTTTTTTTTTTTTTCATCAAACAGCAGAAAGCCATTCAATAAAATTTCCGTAGTTTCCCCGCATTCCCGAAAACTCGTACTATATACTTTGTAACGTAAAAACTTCCGCGTGAGTACAGGTACATCATATGTAAGTATAATATACCCAAGGATTAACGCGCGTGTAAGTCTCATCGAGCTCGCGGTCTCGTCCCTTCACTCAATTCTCTTGCAGCACTGACATAATGCACTCTGCACTCGCGAGCATATATATTTGTACAACATTCGCGCAAGAGTATGTAGGTGTAAACGCGAAAGTCTCTCGCGGAACCGTCGAGCCTGCAGTTGAAGGAAAAATATGCCGTTGCTTTCGTATATACGTATGTAATGTTCACGTAAGTTGTACGTGCGTGCTTGCACAAAAGCGGAAACGCTCGCGCAAAGTGTAATATATATATATATATGTCTACGTGTACCTACCTTTTTTCTTAACTTGGCTCTCGATCGCCGCCGCTACATCGTGCCCGTCTCATGTGTACTTGTGTGTACAATACTTGAATGAGCGTCGATTTCTATTATTTTCTTTATGCTTTCGGAAAATGCATGGCATTGGTTACACTTGAACGAGCGCAGAGGTAACCTCCGAAGTAAATACGTGCGCCAATAAAGGAGTTTGAGATTAAGATGTATATATATATATGGTTCCTGTATGTAACCCTAAGTGTCATAAGTGAAACACGATAAATGACGCTCATCATGAATGGGTGGAATTTTCACGGAAAAGAGTTGCCGATCTTCTGTTGTAAAATGATGGTTCGGCATTTGTTTCACCTCCACGTTGAGTTTTGTTTTGAAGTTCATAAAATAATTCATTTAAAGGTATGCTTGTTGACGAGGTGCAACCGCAAAAGTTGAAACATCCACGGGCACCCTACGGAGGAGCAAATCAATGATTTGTTTGCCTAAATTGTCCGAAAAACCATTATCCTCTGAATAAACGAATCCGTCGAAGCAGGAAGATCGGCAAAAAGCACGTTTGGGCGCATATACCGATCAATCCCGTTTAGCTCTTGAGACGGGTAAATACCTAAACGTATACGTATACGTATTTCTACTGCGTAATGTGTACACACGCTTGCGTATATATTTTTTCACTTTTACCCTCTTACCGGCCAAGACCCACTCAATGTTAGTCTCGTCCATTAAAAGTAGCCGCTTACGTATTACGTGCACGTAATCCCTACTTGTACAATAATGTTGTGTAGGTACCTTTGAATCCCCGCGATAGCGCGTGTAAAGAACTAAATCGCCTACGGTTTCGTAAGTATACCTTGTCGTTTTACACGGCGTTGATGCAGCGAGAAAATATACTTATGAATGTGCACTTTTCTGCACTAGGTAATCATAAAATACGAAACGAGATTTTGTTCCTTTTAGTTGGGCCGAAGAGTTTCATGAAAATACGCGCGCGATGTCCCAACGCTGGAATACAATCAATTTATTGTATTACGAAATTGGGAAAAATCTTCCAAAAATCTTGTACAAGTATAATTTTGTTTTTACCTCTCCATCAGTCATTTTTTGAAACTCAGAAACTGTACGAACAAAAAATTTCAACAAAAAACAAAACTAGTTTTCAAGCAAAAAAGTTAACTTTTTTTTTCCCAAAAGCTTAACGATTCAAATTTAAAATTGAACGCTTAAAATTCAGCTTCGGCTGCAGCAGATCTCCATCGTTCGGGTATGGAATGTACTTGTGTGTAAAATATCTTCAGCTTCGAAAGTAGCGCGTGACGCTATATATTCACATACACCATACGTATATAGATATATTTGCTCTTATCTCTCCTCGTATGCGCCTTATGTTAATGCCCGTCGCATATCCATTGTAACCGTATGCTTTTTGATTTTTGTCTTTCCTTTTCACCACAGCAAAGGAATCCTTACAATTCTCAGATAAGAGAACACGCCGACAAACGGTAGCGGCTCGCATATGTGTATAGGTACTCCCCAATGCGTATACGTACAAACGTACGCGGAGATGCGAGAAAGTAGGTAGGGCAGCGAATTGCAAATGAGGTGAGAATTGAGTTCGAAAAATGATGTTCGATCGCTTTCCTTTTTTTTTTTTTTTTTTTTCCTTCTCACTGCTCCCCTATAACGAGATGCAAAAACCAAATGGAAAGGATGGAAAAAAAAAAAAAAGAAACTCACGAGGTAGTAGTCGATGGGTTTCTCGCGAGCTTTGCTGTAGCCCTTTTGTAGCTCGGTCTGTTTGAGGGCGTGGGCAATGTGCAGCGCACTGGCGTCGAAGCGCCCGTACTGGTATCCATCCCCGTACCCGTGGTGATTGTGCGGGGACGCGTTTCCGTGGTTGTTGCCGTGATGATGGTACAGCCCACTCGGGGACGAGCCGTGGCCGTTCGATTGCCGCCCGTGACCCGATGAATCGGCGCTGTCGAAGCTGCGGACCCACAATAATCAACATATTCACCTTTTTTTTTTCCCCCCCAACTATAATTAATACTAGTAGCTCCCTGGTGTGTCCCGTATAAAGTATATAATACATATGTATACCGATACACAAAGTAGATCCGCGCTTTCTAATTAAAGATAATTAATTCGGTTGTCACCGAACGCGTGCCAGTTTTGCGTCTCTTTTCATTGGAATTCGATGCGGCAGCCGAAAAATGCGCTTTGACTTTGAAACGAGCTCGAACGCGAAATCCGTGCGCGTTTGAAAGAGCATTCGAAACCTGATTTTCAAAAATAAGAACAAAAGTTACGTACAGCGTGGCAAGTAAATCGTGCGTTGTGCAATTACAAAAAACAGGTGGGGCACTGTACGAATTTTGCGTTTTCAAAGGGAACAAAAAAAAAAAAAAAAAAAAAAGTTGTATTTTATTACGTTGGGCACACACCTGTGCGGGTAAACGGGTCTGGGGGAGCCGCCTGCGCGAATCTGCTCGTTGACGTATCCGGATCTGGGGACGTTGAGGGCACTGCGTATCCCGACGCTCGAATTGTCGAGGGTCCCCGGGCCCGGTTTGGGCACGTGGCTGCTGCAGTAGACCTCCTTGTCGTTGATCGTGTGCTGGTTGTTGTAGTACGTCTTGAGGGTCAACTTCGTGCCGCATATCGCGCACTTGAAGCAACCCGAGTGGAAGAACGTGAAGTCCTTGAGGGGACCCACGCGGTCCACCTGGTAGACCGTTTGCTGGCAGCGCAGGCACGTGCTCTCGTAAAAGTTGGGCCGGTACATTGTGGAGGTTTTTCTTTTTTTTTTCTCCCCCCCTTATTTTTCTCTACGCGCTGTGGTGGCGAACGGGCACAGACGAGTGGAACTTGGTTTTGGTTGAACTGACGATCAGCCCTCGTTGATGAGGATCCCCTTTGGGACCGTCGACGCCATCGGATGATTCCTCGATTTTCGCATTTTTACCAGCAACCTGCAACATTTAATCATTCGAAAACGTTAGATTACATTGTTTATTGATGTGCCGTTTCGTATACCGTATAAACCCTTTTGTCACGGGCAAGATTGATGGTTTAACATGAAATAATCGAGAAAAAAAAAAACGATTTTTTCATCCAAGCATGTGGTTCTCAATTTTTATTGGTAATAAGTCTCGAGGATGAATAAACCGCTTAGCTTTGGCTCGGCTCCGTTTTCCGTGGAAGACATCATTAAAGTGGTATAATAACCATAATAGCCTCTCAACTCGTATCTCAAATGCTCAATTAATCCTCGTCCCCTGTACCACCTACTCGACTCGTAAATTTAACGCGGAGGAAATAATAAAAAAAAAAAAAAATGTTACAAATCTGCTCTACGGAATCGCCCACGTTGTCGAGGGCTGCCTTAACCATTCGTCCATATGCAGAGGAAAAAAAAAAAAAAAAGAAGGAGAGACGAGAAAGTAGGCGAAATTCGAGCTACAGAGCTGGCCTACTATTAATTTTTCATCCTCGTCCTCGTCGCACACATGCGAACGAAAGCAGCTGCTACTGCTAATTGCACGATTCTCAAGTTAAATGGGATCACGGTGTGCTTGAGTATAATATGTACAGTTGCGAGTGAAAGCGAAATGATTCCGTATGCACTGCGTGCACGTAAGTACATATACTTACACGTGCAGTGCTGCCGTTGCCGCGCCAAATGCGCGACTCTTATCAAGTGGCGCGCGCCCGATGCTACAAGTACTTATAGTATATAGGTATTTGAGAACACGTTGATGAAAATTGGCAGAGTGAAATGGATTTTAGAAATTAACCGGTGACCGTTTTTTTTTTTTTTTTTTTGTTTTGGTTGGCTAATGCGAAGGTTTAACGAGCAAACGAGCGCCTCGGATGGACCGGTACAATTATTTCTCTACATTATAGACATCTCTCTATATGGGTTTCGTTGCGCGGTAGCGTTGATTCGATAATACCGACATTCATGTATTTTGATGATTAACTTGTCCGTTTACCACGAATTTTCTCCCCATTCGTGTAAGTAAATGCCTACACTTGAATTTTTTCACGCCCCCACCCGGTAAGTACTCCAGCACCGCTCAATCATCAAACTGCTTCTCCGTAACGGCCCACGTAATAATTAACAATATCCATGATCTCTCGGGGTACAATTTATAATTTTCGCACCTACACATAGGGGAGAGAGGCGCTTTGAGCTCACGATGCCTAAAAATGGGCAATCGGTTGCAGCGCTCGCGGTTTATGATAAATGGCGAGGAGAATCGAGCGACTCTCCCTCTCTTGATATGTACATAAAATACACATACATAGATTACGTGGTTTATTGTGAAACGTGTAATGTGTGTATTTTGCCATTATTATACGGGTATATCGATGAAGAAAAGTATACATATAGAGACAGAGAGAGATGATCCTTTCGGTCCGTGACGTGCTTGATACTTCCGCTCGTTGTACTGTGTGATTACAGATCTTTTGAGAACAGAGTAAAAAGAGAGAGTGGGAGGGAGGGTAAAGCGGAGCTTTTTTTTCTTTTTTTTTTTTTTACATTTTGGTCGTCTTGTGAAGAGCTTTTTTCAAAAGGTATTTTGGTACATGAAATCGTAAGCATCGGGTTGTCCGCGTTTTTTACCTGCAATCGAAATACAAGCAAGTACATAGTTGAAGCTGTCTTACCAAATACGGACCTGCACTACTTTTACCATCGGCTAAAATTCTCAAAAAGGCATACTCTTGTTATACATATATTTATATAGGTGAGTAGACTATGTATTTGGTATCTCGTTAGATGGGCATGGATTACGAATCGTTTTGGCCGGCCTCGTTACAGCTGCCATTATTAATCGGTATATAGTTGGTCCGTCGGTTGTTGGTCATCGAGTGTTTCACGTAAATTAATAACTGCATGTAATATGCAATCGCAGATGTAACGTTGTGATGATTGAAATACATAAAAATTGTAATTGCAAATGAAACCAACGACTTTTATATTACAATAAAATACAATTTTTTTTTCATTTTTTTGTTTTTTTTTTTTTTTATTACTCTCAGTCATACCTATACTAGGAGATATATATATATTACATACGATCCGAGACAATGGCGTGAGCTCAAACGAAGTGGGTCACTGGCACCCGATGCCTTTTTTTCCAACATGTAGGTACGTGTATAGTACTTCTTGAAACAACAGCGAAATAATCAAAGTCTATGACACAGATTTCTATACAAGAAGTAAAATCGTCGGTGACTCTTATTCCCCCCCCCCCCCCAGAATTGGAATTGGAATCGGCATTTTGCGCGATTCATCACTGCCACGCTGTGTATGTACGACGATGATACTTTACGGATGGATTTTTTTGTTGAGAATCAAATGGGAAGAAAAAGGGGAGGTTTAAAAAAAAAAAAAAAAAAAAGCCACGAAAACCATGTAATATCCAAAGTAAGATCGAAAGACGACGTTAATTAGACGAGTAAATCCTATTTGTATGAAAAAAAAAAAAAAAAGAAACGAAAAAAACAGAGTCCTGAAACACACGTATAATAGCAGAGAGGGAGAGAGAGAACCGATTCTGGAACAAAGCGATTTTCGCACGAACGGACGCGCGCTCAAGCTCATGTCTAGGTACACGTAAAACTGCAAAAGTATGCATCTCGCCGTATAGGTATGGGTGATTTTCCCGCGTGGCCTATACACGTTATACCGATACGTGGTGTAAAAATCAGAGACAGGGAGAAAAGAGACCCGGAGGCCTTTATGGCTCGTACACGTGTAGGTATATAATATATTTATATAAAGTCGGGCGCGACCTGCCCGCGGAATGCAACGAATTTACGAGGCTCCTGCATCATACTTACAAGTACACTTATTTACACGTTTGGTTCTCTTTCTCGGGTGCATTTGCTCGTATATGGATGCACAGGCAATACGTGTCCAGGGAGGCAGGCATGAATTCTTTTTTTTTTTTTTAAATAGCACATATTTATACGTATATGTATACCGATATACATCGAGAGGTGTGTTTCAATCAACCAGTTGTTGGGTTTTGCTACTTTTTCTTTTTCTTCATCCGCACGTTTATTTATACAGGACATTGAGCTTAGGAGTACAAGCTCCTTTTTGTGAGATTTTATTGCGATGAAATTTTTTTATTTTTACCGATCGTACACGTAAAGACAAAAAAAAAAAAAAAAAAAAAAACTGCTCGCACGATGGTGATCGGGGATTTGCGGGTATAATCGAGGGGTTAAACGATGAAAAATCGATATGCTTTGCTGGTGCATGCAAATGTCGGTACGGAATGTAAAGGGCAATATGAAGCGAATAACATTTCATAGTCACGTGAGAAAAAAACCAAGATTTGAGCGCTCGTTTTGGCGAATTAAAAAATTTAGTGTTCGAAGCAGTATCTCCGACATTACAAACGAATGAAAATTTATTTTGGAGACATAAAAACGGAGAAAAGGAGGGCTCCGACTCTAGAATGTAATGACCACTTTTATGGACTTTAAAACGAAGAGAACAGACGTGGCTTCCAAACACGGTACACTCATCGTCTTTTTGTGGGTGAAATGAGGAAAAGTTATACAGACGCCGGCGAGTGAAAACCAAAATGTGGATGGATACACGAAAAATCCGCGTGGACGTGTCCATGTTTGGGTGTCGGATTTATTTTCTCTTTGTATACATTTATCGGGTCCTCAAATATAAAATTTTTATGCGGAGATGAAAAAAAACGCGCTTTTGATCGCGTAAAACAAAGAGGAACCGAAAAAAAAAAAGAAGAAATGTGTCAAACAGCGTGCACTGGGTTGCCTCGACAAACCCCAACGCTTTCAACACAAGCGAAAAACCTCGTGAAAGCGGATAATTGATTTACGATTTACCCGTGAAATGTACGTCCCACGTACGCGTTTTTTGTACATACCTATACCTTCATACACGTAGTATATAATACAGATATACGCGCTAAAGGTGCTTTTGACTTTTCGCGAAGCAAGTATCGTTAACGGCTATTGTGTGTTTAGCGTTTTACATGAATTCCAGACTCCACGCGGCGCGACAAAAACACACATTCTCAAATTAATTTTTTTTTTTTTTTTCCTTTCTCTTTGCGTCTCCAGCTGCTTTTATTTATTATGATAATAATAATAATAATAGGTGCGTGCCGATTTTTTCGTCTTTTCAAACGAGATATTGTTCGCACACGTGCCGTGAAATCGCGAGAGGACATAGTTCTCGGAATCGGTATTATACACGATATACCATGACGATAGATTTGAAACGTCCACACTTATATATATGTGTACCTGTGGTTAGAAAATCCAAAGTGTGCCACCGTATAATACGCCTCTAATGTATTCAATACAACTTTTTTAGCTCGTCGGTGATAAAAATTTTTTACTCCTCCAAACGATCTTTTCACCGTAAAAGGTCCCTAGTCTTGGAAATCTCGAAATAAAATCGACTGTCGCGTGTGTTCTCCAAGTAACTGCTTTCGAAACTTATTTCATTGCAGTCACGATTCTTATAAATTTTCGACGTTTTACGATTAGGAGAATGTTTTTTCATCCACCTATACCCACATCTTCAAATATGCCCATGAAATTAAAAAATCGGCAGCTTTTAGAAACAAAATCGGCACATCCCATTCTGAAGATCGTTAACATTCTTTTATACCCAAGAAAAAAAACATCGAATCTGCGTAACGCGCGCTAAGCGGATCAAAAATCTGTGAGCAGCCAAGAGAGAAATGGAAAAGAAGCTCGAGGAGGGTAAAATAATATACGCACTTTTGTCGAGTCGACTAAACTATTCCGACAAAAAAGATCGAGGGGGTTGGAGGGGGAGGAGAAAAAAAAAGAAAGAATTTCGAGCATCAAATCCATATCCTTTTTTTCTTTCGTCCACGTAAGTCACGGCGACGCTTTTTTGCGCTTCGGAAAAACTGAAACCTTGAGAAACGCGCGCTCGCGA